GGAAGGCCTCTTGTGTTTGTAGGATGCAGGATTTTTCAAGTAGCCACACCAGTTGCCCCAAGAAGAATGGTCACCATAAGCATGGGGCATGATAGACTTCAGACCATTTCGCACATCTTCTTCATCACCCTTATTCTGCTTTAGTGCATAACCAAAGCATCGCTGGAAATACCGTATCACCATATCTGTCAGGCTTTTGTTTTGGGTCTTGATGCAGTATAGTGAGCTACCAAAGGATCTTTTAGTATGGACTACATCTGACCATTTTTCAACCTCGTGCTCAACATTTTTCCTTACTTTGCTTATGGTGGATGAATCATCATCCCCAACAAGAACAGATACAACTGCATTTTTTCTCCACATTTGTTAAGCAGAGTAAAACCACAAAAATAACATTTTTTGACATAAAAAGCAAGGGCATTCAAACTACACCTAGGCATTATCTTAAAGTATTTTCTTTTCTGTATTTTTAACATACCCATATTAAAAAAATATAGGTGCATTTTTATGTTTGCTTTCTTGTCAAATTTTCAGCCATTATTACCAAGGGTGTGGGGTACTGTAAGACTCTCCACTGTTCATGGTTCAAGTGTCATTACTGTAACACTGATATCATAAGAACAGATTCCACAAGTCTCTCTTTGGAGCAATAACACTGTGAATTCAACATATTAACAACTATTATTATAACTATTATCTTATTTTTATCATTACATACCTGGTTAGTAATTACCTTTTGACTAGATCGACACAAACATCAGCTTCCATAGCTTTTGATGAGCCTTCCCAGTTGAGCCTGCAGTCATGTATGCGAGGCTTTTTTGATTGTCTGCTGGCAGTTTCACATGTTGCACACCTTTACAAAAGACATTATGGGTAAAGGTCCTGGGTAACACTTTCAAGAGGAGGCAAATATGGGTGCTGTAATATGTTGAATGATTCTGTACTTTTTGTGGTCAAATTGAAAAAAAAACAGTGCTCTTGTTGTTTACAACAAGGTACTAGTAGTCAAAATATATGTATATACATTACCTTTTTGACCTTGAACCATAGCAAATCACCTTGCCAGTTTTTAGGCCAACCATGGAGCCAACACCTAATGGTGAAAATACGGATATATTTTATTTAATTAACTTTGACCATTGGCCAACACCAAAACTGTCAGTTAGCTAAAGAACAATCCACAGAAAAAAATAACAGCTTTCTATGAAAATGCATACCCAAATGCACCCTTTTCAATTCTTTCAGATGTAGAATTTGCAGTGTACCTGTCAGGCTGTTGTGAGCTTTTTCCCTTTTTTGCCATCCCATGTCAAATGACGCTCCTATCGCCACATTTTCCTTTTCATTATCCTCTTTCCACAGGTTTCTTTCGCTTTCTAAACTTTCCAGACATGATTCCTTTGCCAACTTTTCAATTTGGGGCCCTACTTCCCTCTCGCGAGCCTTCAGCGTGGACTCTCCAAGTGATGGTACGTTGATAGATGACAACAACTCGTTTACGTGTAGCATCCCTATAAATATGTCGATTCAACTCATTAAAAAATTGGCTAGATGCTAAATGGATGCTTTAATTGTGGAAAACAATATTTTTAGTAACATTAAATGTAAAAAAACCTGCAGCGAGCTTCGTGTTTACATCAAAGATTGGTCTCCCTCGCGTTGTTCCGGTGCTACGGTGGGTCTTATTTGTTCGACAGATATTTGTCTCTCCACACTCGGAATTTGAACAGCATATGTATACTAGTGATCCTAGCCCAGACACTGTTTCTTTTATGCAGTTGGAGAGCCGTAGAGCTGCCCCACAGGCTTCACAGCCCCAGTCCAAAGCCTCGGCGAGGACATTTAATTCTACAACTCGACGGCCGCGAAGTGGAAATCCACTGCAGACTTCCAGATCACGCACACTTTTTTCATTTTCTTGTTTTTTGAGAGCAGACCAGGAAGCTGTCAGCCGATTTGCGGCATTCTTATTACGAATAAAAGCTTTCGCTCTGCAAAAGCGGCCCTTGTCTGTTCTTTTCACGTTAGCGGGAAGAACGGCTGCCATCTTGGATGTCGCAATTAATGTTATGCGCAGAAAAGGTTGCGCAGTGCAAAACAAGGGAACCACCTTAAGAAGCATTAGTAAGAGTCGCACGAGGGTGACTCTAGCTTCGTAAGTGCACAGCAAACCTCCAAAGTGCATCCATAACTCAATGGTTACATGCTGCACGCTGACCATTTTTTTTTTTTGTAACATTGAGACTTTCAAACATCTTTCGTTCCTCGGCGTAGGGAAAGGGAAGCAAACTTCTATTATGGAGATTTCATTATAAGAGAGGAACCTGGGAACAAGACATTCAAGAAGCGAAAGTATTGATAACTTCCGGCCTTGATGTTTGTACTAAAGACACGCAGCAGGTGATAGTGTGAACAAAGCTCGATCCAGTTAAGAATGCGGCTAAACCTTGTGAAGAAGGAACTCATTGGAAGCGGGAGTTTTGGGAACGTTTACAAAGTCGAATCGGATAGTAATCCAGTAGCAGTGAAAATCCTTCATGAACGCTACACAGACGACAACAAATGTTTGAAGAAGTTTGAAGCAGAATGCAAAATTCTTCAAAACCTTCAGCATAAAAACGTGGTTACGTTTTTGGGTTTTATCACTTCACATGCTTCACCGCCAATGCTGATAACTGAACTCTTGGATTGTGACTTAGGAAAATATATTCGTAATTGTCATCCAGGGAAGATTCCATTTTCAGAGATTGTCTCGATTATGTTAGACGTGGCGGAAGGTCTCGCGTACCTTCATCAGCAAAATCCACCAATAGTTCACCGAGACTTGGCCAGCAAAAACATACTTCTTACCAAGAAAAGGCAGGCAAAGATTGCTGATGTCGGTCTTGCCAAAGTGCTTCCAAAGGATAAACAAAATTATTGTTCTCCTGTACCCGGAACGCCAGTTTATGCTGCACCAGAGACGTTTCACCCCGACTATGATCCAAATTTTCCCAGTTCCATGAAGGTCCGATCGCCTGTCGAATATGACACCAAGATTGACATCTTTTCACTCGGAATCACTTTGATGGAAGTTGTAAATGGAAAGCGACCTAATCCTCAGCCAGGTGATAGTCCATTTACGAGCGGTACGTGTCAAATTTTATAAGCTGGAGAAAACGATGTGTGAATGCAATTTACAGTTTATCCAAGAGCAAATGTAGATGTTCGAAGTTGAAGTTGAATTTTGAAAATGCACCCTGAATTAATTTTAAAATATTTAGTGATCACTCCGTCTTTAAGAGGAGCTTTTCTTGTAATACACTTCCAAACGTTTTTAAGTTTTGGGCTCGGCTGTCGTGTTCAAAATAACATCCAAGTGTCAATCTGGTTCTCAGGCTCCTCTCTTTTTTAGTTATTAGTGCTGTCACGGCAGGGGCAGCAGGGGCAAGACAATTAAATACATGTTTATCATCTGAATTACCGAATAAGCACCCTACGGCCTGGGTCTAAATGTCAAATAAGCACCCCCCTTGAAAAAGGTGTCCCCCTCTAGCTCCTCGTTCAATTTCTGAAATTAGTTGGGATGTAGATAATAACAGTTTCTACAAGGGATAATAGCTCAAGCGGAACGCGCCCAACAATTTGTCATTTCCAACTGCATTAACATCATACTTCTCGGCTTAATTCCTGTCATGTTTTTTAGGAAATTAATGTTTCCCAAATGTTTAAACAAAAAGAAATATTGAAATATTGACTTTAACTGGATAATGCTGTAGTTTTTGTTTAATGATTTAGCCAAAAAAGTTACAGTTCTTTGAAACTGGCTAAAATGCAATAAGCTCTCAGTTAATATAAGGAAAACTAACTACGTAATTTTTAAACCCAGACAGAAGAAATTTAACTCCAGCATTTCTCTCTCCTTTGGAGGTAAACCCCTACAACAATCTAACGTAACTAAATTCCTTGGGGTCTATATTGATGATCATCTCACTTGGAAACACCATATCAGCTATGTATGTAAACAAATCGCTAAATCAATAGGTATTTTATTCAGGTCTCGCCTTTTCTTATCCTCTACAACCAAGCTCACTTTGTACTACACCTTAATTTATCCTTATATCGTCTATTGTAACTGTACCTGGTCGTCCACATACGTATCTAACTTAAATAGAATTTACTACTTGCAAAAGCGAGCTGTACGGGCTATCACCAACTCAGACCATCGAGCCCATTCCGCTCCTTTATTCTCCAAACTAGGAATTTTAGATATTTTCCAAGTCAATACGTTTGAAATCGCCAAATTCATGTTTTATTATAGAAATAACTTATTGCCTCCATTGCTTCTCAATCTTTTTGTAATGAATAGCCAAATTCACAACTATGGTACCAGAACAGCCAGTAAATATGGAACGCATTTGTGCCGTACAAATCTCAAGCAATTTACAATTCTTTACCAAGGTCCTAAAATTTGGAACTCTCTTCCTATTTCAGTCACTCGTTCGTCAAACCTTCTTAGTTTTAAGACGAAAATGCAAGAGTTTTTACTTAAATAATCCTTGAATTGGCCTAGTCGCACATTCGCAGCACTTTTTCTTTACTTTATTTATTAATGTAAGTGAGGTGGCTCTCCCATAAGCCCGGTGGCTCCCTGGGTCTCCTCGCCTTCTAGCTATAACCGCTGTAAATAAATATTTTTTGGATTATGTAAATAAGGCAAAAAAAATATATGATGATGATGAAAGTAAAACTTATCAAGCACCCTCCTTTGAATAAGTGCCCCCCCAACTCCCCCTTCCACCCTTCCTTTAGCCAAATTTTAAATAAGTATCCGGGCACTCATTCAAGGAAATATGGTATCAGTGAATTATCGAGCTTCAAATTTTTCCCCTACCCAACCATACAAAATTTTGACTGTGGTATGAGTAGTACTTTCCTCTTCTCTTGTTCTTACATTGTTGTGTTGATTTACAATTTGATCTCATTTAGTGCGAGACTTAAACAAATTCTACATTCTCTTCTCTGTTTAAAGATGGTGTACAGATCCTAGAAAAGGATCGTCGCAAAGGTGACATTGAGATGATGGGTGAGCATAAGCTGAAGGAAATTGTGTTTCTTTGTATCGAGGATGTCAGTGAGAGAAGACCTAGTGCTGAGGAGCTCACTGAAATGCTTCGAGAACAATGTTCACAAATTGAGCAGAAATGTCCAAAAATTAAGCAGAAGAAAATTATTGCAAGCAGGGCTGAAGGGGAAATCCCAACTATTAAAGTAACAGTTCTTGGGATATCGAATGTGGGAAAGACATGTCTTCTTCAAAGCTTTGTTCACAACACGTTCATTTCGCTGACATTTCCCACAGTTGGTGCTGATTGCAACTATGTTTCCATCAAAGTCCGGAGTAGAGACTTTAAATTGATGGTTTTAGATACTTCTGGATTAGAAAAATTTCAGCACTTAATTCCAATGTTCATTCGGGGGTCTCAGGGAATCCTCCTTGTATATGACGTGAATAAGCCTTTTTCTCTTGAAGTTATTCCTGAAATGTTGCATGTTGTCACTAAGAACGCACCAGACATTAAGAGTTTCATTTTAGTGGGAAATAAGGCAGATTTGACAGAAAGAAAGCAGAGTGAACTTGTTGTTTCTAAGGAGGGTGAACAATTTGCTCAAAATCTTGGAATTCCCTTCATTGAAACTAGTGCAAAAAGTGGAAAAAATGTTAGAAAAGTGTTTGAAATGATTGCAGAGAATATCTATGATGATTTGGATTTGTCTGATATTGATACCTTTATCTCAAATGCCAGAAGAGATGCAATCACAGTCATGAATGATCCTCCACGTGAACAAAATTTCCTTGAACAGATTGGTGACTACTTTAGGTCTGGGTGGAACTGGTTCAAAGGTATATTTAATAGAGGCTGAAACTATTCACAAGATGGAAATAACCATTGACAAGGCGCCTCTTAAAGCCATAATTTACTGGAAATTTAGATCAGTCTGATATTGATGTGTATGCATATAGCAGAGAATTAGAAAGTATCCCAAAAAAAGGTGTCAAACTGGTAGTCACAGTGTTAGATTATTGCACGATTAAGGTGGTGCTGAACCTTCACTACAGTAGTAAAAAAACTTTGCAGAAAATTGAATCTTGGTGTTTGCAATTTTCATACATAGTAAAAATTAACTTTTATTTTGCCAATATTCATGTGTCACTGCTTAAGTGAGCTTATACACAGACAGGCTTCTCTGGTCAATCTCACAATCAGTTAAACTGAATTAAATTCAATAAGTGCATTCCCCAATAAAATATTTGCATGACTCGCATTTTGGCAGTAACAACTATAACTGTTCTTTGTTGACTCCCATGTATTTCCTAGCAAAGATTTCTCAGATAACAGTTCTAAATTGACACTTTTGAGCTTTGGTTCCACCGAAAATTTAGAATTTGTGGCCTGCTATCAGAAACATAGTTTGCCTCATTCTTTTTTTTCATAGATAGTCTTCACTTGTGGAGATTCAATGAATTTAAATAGGGAGTGTTATTATTCAAAACTCTGCAACTCTTTCAAGCTCTGATGATGTCAACTTCTTTAACCTCATTACCAGTGTATATAAAAAATATCTCTTAATTTTTTTCCATTTTTTCTTGAAAAGAACACTTCATCCTCAAGTAAACTCAGGGATCAATACAATCAGATTTTCATGAAATGGATGAGAACATCTCACTCACAATTTGTAGCACTAATCAACAATTAACTCAGAACATGTTCATACTAAAAGCAATATATATGTTAGCTAAGTTGGACATTTCTCAAACAGAATTCTTGATCATCAATTAAAACCTCCACTACACAGACTGTGCCATCATTCACAGTCGTAGTTTACTGATATTAAACAGCCTCTGCAATTAAAAAATTTTCAATTGTTCCAATTGCATACTTTGTAATTCTTAATCTTTTCTCTATTTTTATAATTTATCCCATTAGTCAATAGTTCATAGGTTTTTAACCATATTATATTGCTAATTATGTTATGTTTTTTTTAAATAGTTCATCAGAAAATAGTTTGTAAGTTATTTACTATATTAAGTGTCCCCTATTAGTAGAGGAGTTTTTAACCCCATCGGCTAGATATTCAAGACACATAAATAAAGTGTATGGAATGATGATTTGTGATTCAGTCCCACAATCAGTAAGAGGAGCGTTCAATCAGTTGTTTAAGTACACTCCCTTCTAAAATCTTTGTTGAAGTATCTTTCCAATGAAGGGGAAGTTGAATCAAGCAGCATTCAATCAGTTTCTTGGACATATGAGTTACTGATGCAACTAACAGCTTCCATCAGTCTTCCTTCGGATGACACTCAAATATTGTAACAAGAAAAACCCACCTGACACTCCAAGTATACCTAGGTAATCACTCAATATTGAACCCAGATATCAATGCCCTCCTAACGTACAACTTAACTTAAGTGCTTAGGGCGGGACAGGCCGCTGAAATTATTTGAGATTGAAACAAGGCAGTGTCTTTCCAGTCCAATTGTTTACGTACGGAAGTTGTCAAAAACGTTGAGCCCGCGCAACCACAGTTTGCAGATAGGGTGGTTACCAAGCACTGCACATCGACCAAACTTCGCGAGCTTATTTAACAGAATGTACTCGTGATACAGAAATTGTTAAAATTCGGGAACAGCTCATACCTCCAGATAAGTCTTCCGCTCCCAGAGTTATCTATTTTGCTGTTTTGAGTTTTTGTACGAAATGTTAATGTAAGTTATCGTGGCTATGAGATCGCTTTTCGTTTTCCCAAGGACTCATTCATGTACATATCCATCGGTGTAATGTGTAATATGGCATAGCTTAACAGACCACATCAGATATTTAGTTGTGTAAATCAAAGTTACTGAGACAGAGTGTTTACTTCATAACATGCTCCTGGGTCCCACTAGTTTCTTACACGAATTATGCGAGATGGAACGCGATGTGAAGTGAATGTAGATATGTATACTGCGAATTCAAAGATGAGCAAAAAGAAACTGAAACGTCTCATTTTACTCCTACAATCTGCGCATGTTTCAGTTTTACGTTCTTCAAGGTAAAGCGAGCTGTACATTGCTGCAAGCTCGTGTGTTTATAGACATGAAAGTAAGAAAATTTGAAAAAAAAAAGAAAACTTTGGGATGGCTTTGTAGAATTTCTTTGAGTGTGACACTGTCTAAATTGTTACACCTCGGTCAGACTCGTTATTCAGGTAAGTTAGGAAAAAGTGATTCTTACTGTATTCTTTTTGACAAAATAAAGGTTCCAAGTCAATCAAAATCATGAAAGTGTCTTAAATTTAAAACTCACTTTGAATTTGATCTTTTTTAAGTTATTACCATCATCATCATCATCAGTACACACAGAATTTGTATGAGTTATAAAGAATGGAATTTCAGGTATTTTCATAGGCAGGATAGTTTCTACACAGTATATCAAAAGAAGACCAACCATATCCTATAACTTTGCTCAAAGAAGTATTCTGTTATCTGGGATGATTCGTTAAACCCAGGTCCTAGAGCAGTAATGTGTGGTGGGTCTGATAACCTGTTGAACTCTAGACTGCTTAAGGCATGGTTTGAGTCCTCTAGATGTTGGTGGAGGTGGTGATTGCCTTAAGTCTGTATCATATCAGTTATACAGTAATGCACAGAAGCAAGGGCTGCTGGTGTTCAATGTTTAAGAGAGCATCCAGAGATGTTCATAGAAGGTATTGTGAATGGGTGATGTTGTCAATTCTTCTTCAAAGGCAGACTTATTTTTTATCACTGATGGTATTTAATAACATCCAATCCCTTTGCCCCTATCACTTCTGCTACCACAGCCAAAAACTAGGCAAAGAACCATTTCTACTTTCTCACTTTTACCTAAGTACAAGCCCATTAGTAACTATTTGCTTGGGCACCATCATTGTGGATAGCAACCATTGTCAAGACGGGATGTGGGTGAAAACCAAGAATAGGCCACATGTTGATCTGGAAGACACAGAAGGAAAAACAGCTAATGTCGAGTATGGCATATTTGCTTATAAGTACCATCTGAGCCTTGGGTCTTATTCAGGTTTGCCTGATAAAGAAATTTTATCATTTGTCAGTCTCTAGATTTATTTTAGTGTGGAACTGAATTATAAATGCATTTGACTGGATCTTACCATGATCTAGTTGAGAACAGACACTCAGATGACATGAGCATCAAAAACTTTTCCTTATATTTTACTCTTCAAACAGTTAGTGGGTGTAACTGACCATAGAAGGCATCAAAATAGGAACTTCAGGGACAAAATCGGCTGCACCTTGTGCACCACTTTTTTGTCCTTACCCATTTTTTATGTTTTCTATGATCTATTGCCTGTCCAGTACACTGAATTGAAATTCACTGGTCAGCCTCCCAAAAGAGTATTGACAGTTAGAGTTCAGTGGCAACTATGTTTTGGTTTCCTTGTAGATCCAGGTCCTCTATCTCCAGATCCATCCCTTGCAGGTAAAAACAAGTATTTCATTTGTTACCTTCACCATGTAATGGCTGCTGTTAAGCTGTAATGTGCACCCTTTTTTATTTGTTTCATTATGTGTTATTTGAACAATTCATATATGAACATGTGTGTAACAATAGGCATAATTGTAATTAAGAAATGGTTAGCGTGCAGTGAGTTATGGATGTGTGGGAGGCAGCTAAGCAAGAGAGAAGCATAAGAGTCGCAAGAGGTGATAGCAAAGTGTGATTCTAGCTTCTTAAGTGCTTTCATAACTCAATGGTTGCACCCTGCATGTTAACCATTTCTTTTATAACGTTGAGACTGTCAAACATTTTTTGTTTCTGGAAAAAAAAAGAGGAAATCAAACTGAAGTTAGCATGCAACCCACAGGCAAATGCATCAAGTGTATTTTGTAAAGCTGTTTCAATCATTTTACTGTTGTCTTCCAAACGTACAGCCTGTTCAGGACACTGAACCAGCATAGTATCATTCCTTTTATTTAAAGCGTAAAAAGTTAAGGAGAGTGTTTGCTTATCAAAGGCATGTAACAATGAACATTGTGAAAATATTACAGGATAACAGGATGTGCAGGATTACAAACCTTGTTTTAGGAGAGGAGTTTTTGTGAAACTAATTTTTGAAGAGATGGACTCTGTATGCATGCATATTACCCTCTTTTACCTTTCAATGAATTGCAACGAATAAAATACAAATTTTGGTTTGTTATGTTGTGAAAGTGGTAACTGCATTTCCTATTAGGCTTATCTCATAGAATAACGTATCATCAGTCTTCAAAAGCAATTTTGTATAAGTATTTGAGGGTTCTGAGAAAGGTGACGTTTTAACTGTAATTCGAATTTTTAGATGGTTATTTTAGATTGTAAATAGTAATTAGAAATATAATGGTACCTCTTGAGGCAACTGTACCATTTTAATAGAGCCTAATTGCATTGCACAGCAGTTTATGTTTACTTCTAATGCAAATTTCAATTTTCACTTTTACAGCTCTAAAGCTTCGATTTCTTACCTGTATAGTGCATAAGCAAGCTGGTAAATATAAAGAATGGTCCTATTTTAATTTTGGAAATGTTGTCTCTCTGTCTCTTGACACCACTTAAGTATCACCAGCATCAGTGAGGTAAGGGTACCCCCCTCCCCCTCCTACCCCCCTGTAGCTTAAGGATGCATTCCTTGAGGACCACTTTAAATAGCACTTGAGAGTGAAATTGAAATATTCGGTTGAATAGGAACGTGGGCAGACCTCAACAAATACTCCTTGCGCCTATTTAGTGCACAGTGAACATGTGCTCGTTATTTGTTGATTTACCAACTTCGTGGAAAAAACTATTATTCTTGATATAAAAGTATGGCAATGTACTCTTTCCCAGATACCTTCTGACCTGCTGGCTGAGTCGCCAACGCGGTAGAATATTCCTGAGAAGTTCGATTTTAATTTCTCGCTTGTCCATTTCGTCATCATTGGTCATATTGGTCATTTTGCTTGATTTGATTGTCATGGTATGTGTGCAAGCGAACTGAACTTCCACTCTCAAACTTGACAATTTTATTTCACCCCTTGTGATTGTCGGAAAAACGGAGACCCAATTTACTGAGAGCAGATAAAAGCTATATTATGCCGTGGGCTATGAAAAGCGAGGATGACTTGTAATTGTAGCGCTTAGCGTAGGGAAAGAGAATGGAGATTTCATTCAATGAGAGAAACCTGGGAATAGGACATGTAAGTGGCGAAAGTATCGACGACTTCCGGCTTGGATGTTAATTCTACAGACAGTTGACGATAGTAAGGGAAAAATTCGGTCCTGTTTAGAATGTTACCAAATCTTAAGAGGAAGAAACTTCTTGGGAGCGGGACTTTTGGAAGCGTTTACATAGCCGAATGGAATGGTGGACCAGTAGCAGTGAAAATCCTTCATGAACGCTACTTCAGAGAACCTCACAGCCACAGGAAGCATTTCTCTCAGTTTGAAGCAGGATGCAAAATTTCTTCAAAACCTCCAGCGCAAAAACGTGGTTACGTTATTGGAATTTATCATTTCACATACTTCACCACCAATGCTGAAAACTGAACTCTTGGATTGTGACCTAAGGGAAGGTACGTTTTTTATCGGGGAGGGGGTGATTGGTAAAGTTTTTCCAAGTTGGGAGGGGTCAAACCTGTTTTATTCGCAACCGGGGGTGGGTCACTGTTTTTTTGGCAAGGAAAAAAATTTCTCCATGTCGCTTAGTTGACTCTTATTTGTTAACAAACACGCGAAGTGTATAGAAACCTAAAACTTGTATATACAAGCAAAGCTACCAGTCAAGATTAATCTAAATTATTTAATAGGCCGTCCGTTTGAATCGAACAGCGCATTATCATCTTCGGTCACTTTCGCACTCCCATTCAGCTCATCGATTTTGATCTTCAGCTTCGAAAGGTCATCAATGTTGTCCTTAATCGTGGTAGCGTCATGGTGTTTTTGCGCTTATATTTTCCTCCATGAATCTCCCGGCAGCCGCTGGATTATCAGAAGTCACAAAAGCCAACTTGTAATTTATTGCTTTCAAAGCCTCGAGAACTTCCCACTAGCACTTTCTTTCGGTCACGAAACAGCGGCGAAAGTGTTCCCCGTAGGGCAAGTGGTCCCAAAGGACAGGTAGAATTTTGGCAGAATACTATTTGAGAATTCAGTGTATTCGCCCTTTGGGTTCGGGAACCACCCCAGGTCTTCATCTTTCCACTTCTCTGCACTTGCACTTTCACTTGTTCCCTCACCCGATGTGCCACCAACAGAGTCAGAGGAGTAGCGGGCATCCTTTTTAGAATGGCGAGTCGGCAAACAGCCACAATAGCCACAATTCACCACAAGCGCATTTCCCTCTTTCTATTCCTCGAACATCCTTGCCCATTTTCATGTTTTCACCGTACAATCACACGCCACAAAATTAGGTGTTCTATTTCACTTGCAAGGAGACCAACAAAAACGCAGTGTATTTTCAATCAGCTAGTTTAAGAATAGTTGTTTCAGGATGACAAAGCCATTTTATCAACTTTAAGTACAGTAACTGTGAACATGATGAAGATAAGATTGTGAGATACGTTTTGACCGTTGGAATAGCTTACAGCACTTAAGGTAAAGATGCTATTTTACAATGTGGTGAAAATGTAGGTAAATGTAGTTTGGATTAAGCTTGTAGGGGTGACACTTTGGTGAAAGGATTTGCCCCCCAATTTTCCTTTTCCCACAAAAATCAATGTTCCTTACGACCCTTTATTATTGTTTATTTGCCTAGCCTTCGGAAAAACTTTTTTGAAAAGTTAGAGATTTTCGAAGTTGCAGTAATATTGTATTGTTATTTTTCAAGTGAGATGTCAATAAAGAAATCTTTGTTTCAGTTAATAATGCAGTTCTTTTGTAAACTCATTTACTTAAGGTTTTATGTAAGGAATTTTTTAATCATTTTTTCCATATCAACGTTGTATTTGTAGCATTCGTCCACTAGTAGAATTTAGAATTTAGATCACCGAGCTTGAGTGATGAAGTACCTTCTGTTAGCCTGTACCGAAAACATAAATTAGTTTATTACATCCATTTTGAAATCACTGGTGGTCCCTGTGATCTGATTGGCTCTAATTGGTGCAATTTATTCACAAATCGCACCATTTTTTGCTCTAAATCGCATCTTTTTTCCAGCCAATGAGGAAGTTACACTTAAAACAAAACAACCAATCAGATTTCAAGGCTTGTTTAAAGTAACCAATCAAATTGCAGGAAAATGAAAGACAAAGAGTATCATTTCGCAAATTTTGCAACTTTTGTTTCCATAACTCTTATTCCCCCAAAAAAAAAAAAAAAAAAATGGATGAATTTAATTTTTACCAGTTTATGACAATGAGATCCTTCAGGCTGAAGACCAACATTCCAGGGACTTTCCCACTTTTCGTGTACATTTTGGTGAATATTTTGACGATTTTCTACCCTCTCAAGCTCAAAATCCGCACAGAGACAGCCAGAATTCTCCACCCCAACCACAGAAGAAACGAAGAGCTTACATCATTGAGTCAGACGACGAGGACTGAACTTTAACGCTTCACTGTATTTCTGAGTTATTGAGGACTTCTCGAATTTCTTGAATGAAAGTTGTCTTTCTTTTGATACGCTTGACTGAGTTTTTGACACATGACGTCAAAGTCTTTCTGTTTTGCATTTGCGGTTCCGCTTTTTATTTAAAAACCGGCTCAGTACTGCATCAATAAAATATTCGAATTGACCAAGTCCTGTATTTGGGTGATTTCAAAATGGATGTAATAAAGTGGTAATTGAACCTCGTGTCGTGCAATTTTGGGCTGAAATCATACGCGTGATTTCAAAATCGAACGAGCGCGCACTCCACTCAGTTCAATTACCATTATTAATCATTACAAATGAATAAAGAGGGTAAAGAAACTTGTGCTGCGTCGACTCGGTGGGAGAGTATTACAGGGTAACTGAGTTGATAACGTCAATTGGCCACCGTGGATAATTTAAAAGCTAAACTCTGCAGTGGCCAATTTACGTTATCAACTCAGTTGATAATACTATAATACTAAATTACCTACTTATTACAGAGGCTTCAGCATTAATTAAAAAACACCTATTCTCACAATTTTATGCGTTAAACTAGTCATAGCTTTGTGTAATATGTGTGCAAATAGGATATTATAGACCACGCTTTAATAGAATACTTAGACCTTTGACGCTGAAAACCTACGTTACCCCTATTTTACTCTACCAATGGAACAAGCAAGCCTTAGGAGACCAAAGTAAGATCAGCGATTCACAATCAACGATCCTTTGATGACTTTTTCAATAATCAACTACGTATAGGATAACTACGAAATCTACCAAATCTACGAAATCACACCATCTGAGCTATCCTATCCACACTTCCTGGAAGAGCCATAGAGTCATTGGGTCTCGTCGTTCATGGATCATGCTCAGTTTTAGGTGTCATTTTTTTGCAACTGAGTGTCTACTGAAGTTATATATGAAACAACTAATAGAAGCTTTCCTCGTTATATTTCGGATTTTGGGGTTATATAATGCTACCATGATCTTGTATTTGGCCATGTTGGCAAATATCATGGTGACTGACTTGTATTGTCAGGCTGTTGCCTGCGCAGATACTCCAGTTTACATGTCGAAAAGTAAGAAATGGTCAGCGTGCAGCGTGCAACCATCGAGGTATGGATGCACGTGGGAGGCTTGTAAGCACGAAAGAAGCGTAAGAGTCGCACGAGGTGATAGGTAAGTGTGACTGTAGCTTCGTGAGTGCTTAGTAAACCTCCTAAGCGCATCCATAACTCAGTGGTTGCACGCTGCACGCCAACTATTTCTTCTATAGCATTAAGAATTTCAAGCATCTTTCGTTTCTTGGCGTAGGGAAAGAGAAGCAGACCTCTAATATAAAACTTCATTGTATGAGATGAACCTGGGAACAAAACATTTAAGAAGCGAAAGTTTTGATAACTTCCAGCCTTGATGTTTGTACTAAACACAGGCTGTTAGTGATAGAATGAACAGAGCTCAATCCTGCTGAGAATGTTGCCAAACCTTAAGCACAAGAAACTCATCGGAAGCGGGAGTTTCGGGAACGTTTACAGAGCCAAATTGGATGGCAAACCAGTTGCAGTGAAAATCCTTCATGAACGCTTCTTAAGAGAACCTCACAGCCACAACAAATATTTCTCTCAGTTTGAAGCGGAATGCAAAATTCTTCAAAACCTCCAGCACAAAAACGTGGTTACGTTATTGGAATTTATCATTTCACATACATTACCGCCAATGTTGATTACTGAACTCTTGGATTGTGACTTAAGAGAGCATATTCGTGAATGTCATCCAGGGAGGATTCCATTTTCAGAAACTGTCTCGATTATGTTAGACGCGGCGGAAGGTCTCGCGTATCTTCATCAGCAAAATCCACCGATAGTTCACCGAAACTTGGCCAGCAAAAACATACTTCTTACCAAGGAAAAGCAGGCGAAGATTGCTGATGTCGGTCTTGCCAAAGTGCTTCTAAAAGGCGAACAAAATTATTGTTCTCCTGTACCCGGAACGCCAGTTTATGCTGCACCAGAGACGTTTCACCTCGACTATGATCCAAATTTTCCCATTCCAAGGGGCCGATCGCTTGTCGAATATGACACTAAGATTGACATCTTTTCACTCGGAATCACTTTGATGGAAGTTGTAAATGGACGGCTGCCCTCCCCACAACCATGCATACCTTTTACGAGCGGTACGTATCGTACTTTTGTAAACAATGTTATTAACTTAACACAGTTATGGTAATTTGTTAAGGTGAGGTAAGACAAAGAAAATACAGGTCCGCAATACGTGTTTGGCCCACAAATTCCTCACGCTCCTGACACTGAATTTTCGTAGAGAATGTAAAACCTTAAAATAAGAGATGGTCATAAACCGTGTGTAAACTTTATCGTAGTATAATGTTGAAATGTTAATTTTAAAGTAAACTCTCGGTCGTGCAGACGGATTTTAGAATTTCTTAAAGTCCAAGCCAGACGAATCACTTTGATGGAAGTTATAAATGGACGGCTGCCCTCCCCACAACCATGCATACCTTTTACGAGCGGTACGTATCGTACTTTTGAAAATGTTGGTAATTTGTTAAGGTGAGGTAAGACAAAGAAAATACAGGTCCGCAATACGTGTTTGGCCCACAAATTCCTCACGCTCCTGACACTGAATTTTCGTAGAGAATGTAAAACTTTAAAATAAGAGATGGTCATACACCGTGTGTAAACTTTATCGTAGTATAATGTTGAAATGTTAATTTTAAAGTAAACTCTCGGTCGTGCAGACGGATTTTAGAATTTCTTAAAGTCCAAGCCACACGTAGAAGGGACTTTCTCCGTGAAGATTTGGTCAGAATACCGTAAAAGTAGAGACGACTTTCCTACACAAGACTCTCCAAGAACATTAACTTAAATATAAGTTAATGTTTGACTTACGGCAAGCGGGTGGTAGGGGTTGGGGGTGAGGGGTGATATCTGGGAGCTTGAGCCCACCAACGAAGTCTTTGTAGCTCTGTGGTAGAGTACATAGTTAGTATCTTGAAATCTTACTGAACCCTGTAAAAAACTCGGGAAATTGGCTGTCAGATGCTACTCTTTTCTTGTACCCACGCTGGCAAGCATTATAATTGCGACTTATTAAGGTTGTGGTGCAGCAAGTTATACTTTTTTCTCTCTTTATTGCGCAGATGGTCAACAAATACCAGAAAGGGAACGTCGCAAACATGACATCGAGATGATGGGTGAGCATAAGCTGAAAGATATCGTCTTTTACTGTATCAAGGATTCCCATAAGATGAGGCCTTGCGGCGAGAGGCCCACTAAGTTGTTTCGATGCGAATCTGAAAAGATACAACAGAAAGAACGCATTGTTGAGGGGGGTGAAACTGCAAATATTGAAGTTGCTGTTCTTGGAGAGTCTGGTGTAGGAAAGTCGTCTCTACTTTTACGGTATTCTGACCAAATCTTCATGGAGAAAGTCCCTTCTACGTGGGGCTGGGACTTTAAGAATTCTAAAATCCGTCTGCACGACCGAGAGTTTACTTTGAAAATTGTTGATACGGCAGGACAAGAAGTATTTCAAGCGATGACACCACAATTCATACGAAAAGTTCAAGGCATTGCTATTGTGTATGTCGTAACAGAGGAGTACTCCCTTACAGAAGGTGTTCCCAGAATGTACCAGTTGATTAAGGCTTATGCACCAGACAATGTGAGTTTAATTTTAGTGGGTAATAAAGCAGGGGAGGGAGAACACGTCATCACCAGAGAGGAAGGGGAAAACTTAGCCAAAAAGCTTGGAATTAGCGACATTGAGACAAGTGCAAAAACTGGCCTAAATGTTGAAGAAATGTTCTCAATAATTGCAAACGAGATCTATGACAATTTAGATTTGTCTGATATTGATATGTACTTCTCAGATGGAAG